AAAGTGAAGAGATCTAGAACACAGACATGAGAACTTGAGTCAGGGCACAGGGAAAACTGAGCATGTGACTACAGGAGAAAAGAAAATTGTTTAAGTCAGCAGGAAATACCTTAGAGTCATCACTATTCTCTTCATCACCTCTTGGTTACCGCAGGAAAATTAGTTTATAGGATTATTAGTGTAAGGGCCACTTAAGGCTACAATCTGAAAATGAAAAGTTTCTCTTAGTCTTAGCAGATGAATTTATTCAATGATTCTAGTTTCAAGTTTTAGTTATAGTGAACTTGAAACCATAATTGTGAACTGCCACTACTAAGAAATCATAACCATTATATAAAATCTTCTCAGAATGATCATTATTTTATTTTTTTTTATTTTTTTTTTTAGAATGATCATTATTTTAGTTAAGACTTTGACTGTCATACTCTCATACAGAAAAAATAAATAAAAGAAAGTACTAAGTATTAGCGAGACTAACATATCCTACTGAAAACATTGTATTTAATATAACAACAGAAATTATGTATTTATGTGTATACATTTTCCTAATCTGAAATACTATCACTATCCTTTTTAAAATATTTGTCGTTTTTTTTTTATCAAGAGAAGTTAAATCAACTGGCTTTTCTTACATTTTATTTACATTTGGAATAAAATTAATAATGTCAAATCACTGTTTCTTCATGGGTTAGCATCAATCTGATATTTATGTTCAATAATTTAAAAAGAAAGACAAGCAGTAACTGAGTATATATCTAAACAAAACCTAAGTGGAATAATATACTTATTGCCTGTTCATTCATGAATCCATCTAACATTTATTGAGCCTGTGCTCTGTGTGAAATACTGAGTATGTCTAGATGAATTAGATATAGCCACTGTCCCTAGGAATTTTTAAACTAGAAATTCATAGTAAAAGACACTTTATTAAACAATTTACCTGATTTTTTAAAAGTTTGATTTTGGGGCAAACTTGTTTAAATCCCTCCAAAACCAAATATGTCTTTATTCATTACCATCCTTGGCAGCTTTACAGAAAGCAGTCATAGTTCTCACATTGGTGAGTTGCCCTGGAACAATTTATTGAAATGATGAAGCAATTTTCCCACCTTAGTTCTTTCTGTAAATATAGCTCTAAATTAATACCATTTAAATTGTTACTATTTAAAAAAAAATTATTTATTTAAGGTAACATTGGTTTACATCACTTTGGCAAGTCCCAGAAGCAGTAAGAATGTAAGAGCTTGTTCTTGTTTTCTGGTGTGACAGAAAAGCTCCCCTTCAGAAATACAGCTGGCAGTGTCTGGAGGTGAGTCCTACAGATTAGGGGGGAAGGCCAGAGACAAGACAGCCGCATGCTTAAACTTTATGGCACTCATGCCTCTGTGCGAACAAATGGTTGCTGGAAATCCAGTCCCTCTTAGTGCTTCACTATTTCATGTGGGTTTATGTATGTGTATGTTTACATATATGAAAAATTGGCAACTGCACAGCAAATAATCCCTGAAGGACACAAAATGAAAACTTGAGAAGACACACAGAATCATGTGGTAAAAATTACCTTTCCTCAGTACCTCTGTCAATCACTGTCAGAGTCTCCTACATCTTTCCAGAGAGTGCTCTGATGGGCACCCCTGCTAGTCTTTCTTCTCCTTCCAAAGCCAAACCCTTGATTTCAGAAAATTGTGTACCTAAAAGTCTCCAATTACACATTAAACAGGAAAAGCAAGTGACACTCGTGCACATGGGCTGTTTCCATTTTCAAAACTGATAATACATTATAAGAAAAAAGCCACCAGCAATGTACCTGAGTGTTAATAGTGTTGTCTCAGGTGGGATAGGAAGGGGAGGAGTTGTTAGGTGTGGCATGGGATGTGTGAAGAATGGACTTTCTCCTGTAACCAACTCGATACTATGTGAACTATTAAAAACGAGAATGGGACCTCCCTGGTGGCCTAGGGGTTAAGTGTCTGTGCTTTCACCATTATACAGCCTGAGTTCGATCCCTGGGTAGGGAGCTAATCCACCTGTGGCGCAGCAGACCTCTTCTCTCTCACCTGCTGCTCTCCTTAGCAGTGTATTTCAGACCTGCCTGTTCTTCTCCCCATTCTGTCTCTGGTGAATCCTCTCACTCCCTGTATCTCTGGCCTATACACCAGTTCTACAAAAAATTAAAAAATAAAAAATAGAAACAAGAATATGTAATCTTTCATAATAAAAAGTAGGGTCTTTGTGTAGAGGCAGATTTTCAAAAGGTCTGCGTGTGGAAATATGGTATGGGTGTGAGTTTTAAGTTTCTCTAGTGTTCAGGAATAACTAGTTCCTCTGTCTTATGAGTTGTAGCGTGTCCTTCCTTTGAAGCAAGGATGCTAAGAAGAACTGAAAATAAATTTGTTAGAAGAGAGTAGTTTTTATTCAGGTCATGGAGCCAACACAGATAGATTAACCAAAAAGTGGGGTGGGGTTAGAAGGGTGACATACACAATGTTAGCTCATCTAATTTCTAATCCTAAATTCTTCTGGTGAACACATTATCTTCTTTTACACTTTATTTTCATAATACTCGCCTTTATCCAAGAAACACAGTAGAAGCACATACCACTTGCTTTTTTTTTTTTTATTCTTTTTTATCGAAGCAGCTCTGCAGTATCATACAGGTTTCAGGCGTGCATCACTGAGAATCAGCACAAATATCCACAACATTCAGCTTACCGTGTTCAGTTCTATCCTTCCCAATACGATTGTTCCCTTTGCAGTTTTTAACTAGTAGTATTAATTTTATATCCTAACTAGTTGAGGCTCCTGGCTTCCATCTTAAAGAACTGCACAAAATATGTATAATGGCTAAGAATGTACTTGGCAAGAGCAACTTGATAGAATATTCATCGTGAATTTTAAAACTTTGTACTCATTAATTGAGTGATTTCATTTCTGTGAGTCTATCTTCTGGTAGAAAATCAGTAATAGACTGGGGTGTTTAGCCTGCTAATTTTATTTCTAACATTATTTATAAATATAGAAAGCATGAAGGAAATCTCAATGTCCAAAATTGAGGAGTGGTTTGATAAATTTTAGCATGTAACTAGAGCTCACTAAGATGGTAGACAGTAATAAACTTAAACATCAGCAGATAAAGGTTTAGAAGACTAGTTGTTACGTGAGAAACTACAAAATTATGTTACATATAAAAGAATGATATAAATATTCATGCCTTCACTAAAAATGTGTGTTTGAGGGTGATTTTTCCCAATATTTTTTAAGTTTTCTATAACAAATATGTATTAATTCTTTAAAATTATGAAAATTCTTTAAGTCATTTTAATAAAATTGATAAAGCCAACTTTTTATGGTTATAATCCTTTTCCAGTTATTGGTAGGAAGTTTTCTTTTGAAATAGTTTCCTTCACTGAGCGTATTCAAGAACTCTTTCACTATTGAAGAATTCTTTAATTTCAAATATTGTCAGTGATTTTTAAAAATTCTATTTTTGTGTCATATTTCATTCTTTGAAATATCTGAAGATGAATATGGTTAGGTAGTAATTCTTTCTTCTGGTCTGGTGGAATTTTACCCTCTTAACTGCTTAGAGAATATCCTTTTAGCACTGGGCTTTGTAAGTCTCAGTAGAGCTGCCTTATTTCACTGGTGTTATGTTTTTTCTTTCATGAGGGGCACCTTTCAGTGCTTTCATAGAAAGTCAGTTTTCTGCAGATTTCTTTGGTTCCCAGATTTCTATTTTAAAGCAAAAATAGCTTATTATTTTCAGCTTACACTAGATTTCCAGCAACATCAGTCGAAAGTCACAGGGTCGCCTAGTATTGATTTTTGATAAGATACAGTTCTGTATATAGGTGTGTTTACCATTAATACCCTTTAGGTTGTGTTCATAATATGCTAAACGTGGAGTAATTATAAGTGCACAACAAGTGCATTTGTGTATAAGTGCTCTGTGAATGTGAATCGATAAAATATATGCATATATATCTTGGTCGTAACCTAAAATACAGTTCTCGTGTGTGTGTGTGTGTGTGTGTGTGTGTGTGTGTGTGTGTGTAGTAATATTTCACTGCTTGAAGTTCAAAGTCAGGCAGAGCCAGTAGTGTAAGTTGCAAAATTGTTCTTTCCTTGAGGAAAATGTGCTTGGGTACAAAACATAACTCTGAATGTTAGTTTTACATTTCTGTTTGATGGATTCTGAGGTTATGGAAATGACTATAAAAATAATTTGTCTGAAAGAAGTCTAGATGCAGAAATCAAATAGAGAAAATATTTGAGAGTATGGTTCATCAGCAAGTGCAACAGATACACTTCCTCAAGCACCACATGGTGCGATTCAGAGCATCCCATGACTCGATCTGTGTGACCAATCATTACATATTGATTGGAACCTCCCTGGAGGGTTAACCCCTTCTTGTCCATGCCAGGTTTTCTCTCATTCTTGGTGGCAGTAAGTTTAGGAATATCATGTCCTGTGAATATAGCCTACTTGGTTATATTTGTCTTTCTAAATTATTTCATTATTCTGAATTATTTAATTATATTCTTCTTTGCTTTGTAAAATTCACTTGTGAAAAAATTATACAATTATGGGGAAGCCATTTGTGGTGGAAGGGAGGAAACAAAAATGTAATGTTCTGGGTAGGAAACAGCAAGAATCTCTCAAAATCAAGTACAGTATTATAATTTTCATTATGTACATTAAATGAAAAGTTCTAGCTTTTTAAAGAATCCTTCACAGTCTGAGTAGAAAGCTTTGCCTCTAACAAAAGCCTGTCAAACCCTTTCCATGCATGCTGGTATATTTCTAACATTGGACTATTCACATTTTGGAATTTCACTCCTGCTTTTAAATAGCAATGCAGAAGTAATTAGTAAATTCCATGGGGAAAGAATTCATTCATGTCCGCTTTTGGCCACGTGGGTTCCTCTTGCCTTTTATGTCTGGTGGGATGGTTCTTGGCAGCAAATTCATTTTCTTGGCCTCTGTTTTTTCTTTTCAGTTTGTCCCACGAGGAGCATCCCCATAGCCATCCTCTCTATGGACATGGTGTATGTAAGTGGCCTGGCTGTGAAGCAGTGTGCGAAGATTTCCAATCATTTCTAAAGTAAGAATGATTTTATATTGCTTTCTTCTTTTACATAGCCATCACCTCCCGCTGTTCATGCTTTTCTTCATAAAGTGCCTTTTTGATGGAGGGTTTCACATCACCATTTTGAGAGTGAACTCTAAATCACAAGGTCTAGCGCGGTGTCATAGGAAGAGTTACAAAATGTCTCCAGAGTATTTGTAAAGAGGCAAAGATTTACACTCAAGGGCAGTTTTTGTACTTGTAGTAAGAGCCTGTATTTACCCACTTTTTTCAGAATGACAGTGATTAAATTAAAATTCTCTCACTTTTAAACTTGAAGTAATTTAGTTTTCACTTTCATTCCTGTCTCTACATACTAAATCAATGACATGTGCACTACCTCTTATTTTATCAAATTGGTGTCAATTACTGGCCAAATGCAGCTGGGTGATTTCTCTTCTTTGTTTTTATAGAAATGATTTTAAAAATGTAAGAAATGGATGCTGAGGAACTGCTTACAAGTTGATTCTTGTCTTTTTTTTAATGGTGTTGATATTTATTCAGATTCTTGTACTTATAGGGAGAATGGAGTAAGTTAAAGTATGAGTCAAACCTGGTTATCCCATTTGAATCTTTAGCACTGATAAATTATCTCTGTAGGTAAAGGGGATATTAATCTTCTTTTAACTATAGTGAAATGCTTCTGCACTACATCTTAATATTATTTCTTCTATCTATAGTACCTTTAAAATAAGTTAGACTAAACTGCCCAGCATTATTGACATCAGATAAATATGTTCATGGTATCATTGGATTATTGATATATGGGCTGACTCTAATACTACATTATATTTAATATATTCATATACCATGCAACAGTCAAACTGTACAGAATACATAATTCCTGTTTATCTGGTACATGATGGTTTGCAAATTGGGCATCAGAACATCCCCCCTGCTCCCCAGGCTTTTCTCTCTCACGTGATTCCTGGGAAATAGAGGCAGGCTGGTCTCTGGTTTTGTATGATCCTTATGTTGTTAGATCAGTCTCTGTCTCTGTCTTTATGGCTATTGGAATGGCTAATAGACATCTGTAAGTATAATTCATTTTTAGAAAGTTTCCAGAACTATAAAGTGCTATCAACGATACCTGTGACATACCAATTTAAGAGTTACAAGGGGAAGGGCCAATTTTCCAATTTGACCCATTTAAAAACTTTTGTTAGTAACCCAAGTATTTCTACCCTAATTCTTAATGTATGGATCATTTATTAAGTGGCTTGTCAGTTAGATTGAGTGTGTGTATCTATATATACACATATATACTTATAGGAATAGCTATATAAGAGAGGACAATTTCAGTTCACATCTAGTACTAAGGAAGGAAGGCTGAAGATCACTAGAATTGGGACCTAAATCTGATTCCTATTAAAAAACCCTTTTCTAAGGATAGTAGGTTTTTGATTCTAGTATAGGAAAGTGCCTATCAATTATTTACTATGGTTTTGCACATGACATGTTCTTACTTCATGTTTGCTCAGTAATGCCCACTATGAACCTGCAGCTGTTGCTTATTTATTTCCTAGCACTTATAAATTGAATTATATTTGCTAGAAGACTTGTTTGCAAACTATTGAAGTCCAGCTTCAGCTGGCTTACTTTTACACACATTGGGTGGAGGATTTCAGTTGCTTCCTGTAGCTAAGAAGTCCAGTGGTACAACTAGCTTTAGGTATGGCTGGATCCAGCTGCTTAAACAAGATTATTGAAACATTGTCCTTTGTTGATTAACTGGTGTCTCTCTGTGTGTGTGTGTGTGTGTGTTGCCACCTTTCTTGGGGTCTTTCCAAGCGAAACTGAAGAAGACACATTTACGTGCCATATGCTTGTCAATCCCAGAGTGCATCTCTTTTCCCAGAATTCCAGAAAAAGTGCTGGGCCAGTTATTGGCCCAGATTGAGTCATGTGTTCTAGCTTTGAGCCAATCACAACAGTGTAGCCAGGCTTGATCACATTCCACCTCCTGAGCAGACAAAGATGTTGACTGCACAGGAACCACACGGTTGCTAAGGATCAGAGACTTGATTGCCAAAATAAATAATGCACATTATAAGCCAGGACAGGGAGAGTATATGCTGAATAAGAAAAAAGGGTTTTAGAACTCTGAATTTCCTTGATGTTTTCCTGAGTTACATACTGGTTAGTCTTATAGGATAATTCAGATTTTTCGTTTTCCTCTGCAGCTTGATTTTTGTTCCTGGGAATTCAGAGTTGTCTTCAGGTTTCAGGACCTTGCCTAATGTAGTGGAAAATAAGTTAGTTTTCTTGCAGATTTACGTATCCCACATCTCTTCATAGTCTAAATGGCAATCAGATTGGCTTCAATGAAACCAACTTTGCTTTCCATTGAAATGGACTGAAAGAGCTACCTACTATAGTATGTGCATCTTGTAGTTGGTTCAAACAGAAACCATGTGGCCTCTATGGGTGATGTCATTGTGAAATCACTGTTACCAGGAGGTGTTATTTCAAGCATTTCTTCTCAAATCACCAGATTAGTACATTTTGAAAGCACCTCTTTCTTGGGCCACTCTGATGTCATTCCCCCATAGAGTTGTTTTCTTACAGTTTAAGCAAATTGATTCTAGTATCACTTGAATTCTCCAAATCACTCTTACTCGACAACGGTGTTGCTTCATAGACGTAGGTGTTGCTTCATAGATTTTTTTTTTCTGTCTTCTCATCTCTTAATTTTACCCTCCGCTAACTGCAACAGGCACAGTTCCATGTGCTGTTCATGTGTAACTCGAATCCTAACAACCACTTTGTAGTGATAATGTTGTTGTTTTAGTCTCAACCTACAACTAAGGAAAGCAGCACACAGACAAGTGAAGTGCTTTCTCAAAGTCTCACAGCTAATAAGAGGTGGAGTTAGTGTCCAAACCCAGGATTCCTAGCTTCGTAGTCCTTCACCTTAATTATAACAGAAGACCTCCTGGTTCGAAGCAGTTCAGTTTATTAAATGTGCTTTCTACTTAAGATGGTAGTAGAGAGCTTCTTTAGACAGCTTGAAGATGGGCAGACTGGGTAGTGAAGCCACTTACTCTTAGTGCGTTCTTTGAGCTGGTTGCATTGCATCTTAGCCGCAGTCACAGCACGCATGCTTCGGGATGATAATGACACTAACCACCTCTTAGGGTTGTTAGAATTAAAAAGTACTTGATGTAAAGTGCCTACCCCACACAGACACTCTATAAAAATTCTTTTCTTGCCTACTTAAGTATTTTTTTAAAGAGGAATATTTCAAAATACCCAACACTACTGACCTTGTCCATAGGGAAGGGATTGTAACTATACAGAGCATTGATGTGTCAGAAGAGAGTGTTCTTTAATATAATTTTTTAAACTTAGATTTCTGGTAAAAATATCTCACATAGGCAGGGAAGGCACACTACATACTTGTTCTGTAAAGGATCGGGTAGTAAATTTGTGAGAATTTTGCAGGCCATACAGTCTCTCTCACAGCTACTTATTTCTGCCATTTTAGCACAAAAGCTGTGTCTCTGCGGCCAGTTTGCTGACCTCTGAGCCAGGGTAACCTTTTTTATATCATCATGTATTTTAGCTGAGAAATGATTTTTGCATTCCCTTAGAAATTGCTATCCTGGTGGGGTGTTAGTTGTTGTTATTTTTCAGTTTGAATTCACAGAGCCCTCATGTTTATTCATAATTGGGGATGATAGCCATACATGTCTTGGCTGTTACTTCATTGACTAGTCTCAGTTTTGATACTTGCATGGACTTGGGCTTTTTTCTTTCCTGGCATTTTGGTGCAGTACGAGAGAGGAAAATGACTGCTTGGTAACTATTTTCTGATCTTCTTAAACAGAAGAAAGACTAGGAAGATGTAATTTTTAAAAAGACCAAGATCAGTTATTCAGGATAAAAATCCCAACTGACAATAAAATGTCGCTGTTAACAGAGAGAGGGGTTAGGGGAAGGGAGGGGGCACTCAGAGGTCTAAGATTCAGGCATATTTTTTTCCCTCCTGAGGAAGAAATATCATAGCTGATGGTAAATCAAAACCAGAGATTTGACACTTTTCTGTGATCATTCTGCAGTGTTTGTTCCCAAGGTGAGGTACACCACAGGGCCCTTGATTTCAAAGATAAATACTGTACAAATAACCATCCTGTTGTCTTTCCCTCACAGCCAACAGAGGGATGCTTTATCAGAATCAGCAGATACTCAGCCTATTGTACGCATTTTTTCCCTGTTTCTTCTCTAAGCAAGTTGCAGTTTGAGTGTTGATTTTTTTTTTTAAATCTATCAACCATGAGTTACCATGTGACTGTTGAATTTGTTAGAGCTAACCGATACCAGCAGGTGCTCGTGCTAACTCGAATGAAATCCTCCAGCCCTGCATTGCTTAGAATCCTCCCCTCAGAGAAACAGAAAAACAATCCCAGTGCCATCCAGATAGTTGAAGCTCCTGGTTTCTTGCATCCCTCTCCCCACTTGGATCATTTTTTTTTTTTCTTTTTAGAGCAGATTGAAGACACAATCTTTACCAGTAAAAACATGAATTTATAATTCTTCCCTTTTATCTTTTTAAAAAAGAGCTCTATAATTCTTTGGCAAGGTGGGGCGTGGATTTGAAGGCTAAATCATTTCCTGTTTCTAATTTAGAATGTAAAATCAGACACAGACCCATAGTTTCACAAATATCAGGTCCTCTTGTGTGTTTGGGAAACCTATTTCCATTTCCCCTCGTTTTTCTCTTAGAGGGTCAAATCTATGAAAACCATAATATTTATCCTTATTTATGATTCCATTTGAAAGGAACTTTACATACATACATACATACATACATACATACATACATACATGCGTACACACACACACACACACAGATGTTCTTTCTCCTGAAGAAACTCACTGTGCAAAACAATCAAAACAAAAATTCCTTTGCCTCTTTGTCAGATGTACAGATTTTTTATTAAAGCCAAAATAAACTTTATATTGCTTTATTAGAA